AATAAAATATGTATGCAAACTAAAAAAGAATATGTATGCAAAACTAAAAAAGAATATGTATGCAAAACTAAAAAATGTATGTATTCAAAATTTAAAAAAAATATGTACGACAAACAAACAAAAAATATATACGAAAAACAAAAATATAGTATAAAAAATACAAATGTCACTTTTATGCCACCGTTCAAAATACTCTAGTACAGAAGTTGTGCATTCCTAGAATTAAAAGATGCTGCGAAAAATATCCTGTTCTGTCGGTCATATACTTGAAAACTTTTGGTGCCATATTGAGCCCCATTTTAAATATGTTGGGAATGAAATAAATGCAGTTAATATTTTTTTTCAAAAGAACTATAAATATACTCTATTGCAATGTTCTGGTGAAACATCAAGTTTTTCGTTTGGACTATAAAAAGTGATTTTACAAAAACATTATTAAGCTTATCAACAAACTTAAAGGTTTTTGTAAGCTCCGTAACAACCGTTCGCTTTTGGTAAATCTTACATACTTCTTTAGAAAGAGCGAACATGAATTTTGTAATTTTAAAATAATCGTATCTGAGAAATATAAGATGCTTGTTACCTGAATAAAGTAGCGATAAATGTGAAATTATTTGTCACAAAAGAAGTCAAAACAAGAAAAAGATGGTTCAGGTAATTGGCCAATGTGTATTTTTTGATAATATAGAAGAACATCAAAATGAAAAAGCTTTTAAGAAAAACAAATAAAAGCATAATGGGCCTTTAAAACGTTATTTTTAACCCTCGGGGGGATCGATACCCCACAATCCCCTCTATACCCCCAGTGAGAATTTTACATTATTCTGAAGCTCCGCTCTTAATGTGCGACTACTTAAATAGTTGATATCTTTAGTACTGCCTGTACTGACTACTACTTAAAGCCGCATCTACACCTAGTCAAGTTTCTTATATGTCACATTTAGCTAAATAAATGGCTCTTTCAACATATTATCAGGCACATTTTTTACTGAAATGTCTTACTAAGATTTCCCAGAATTTATACCTTTGTCTATGCTAAGACTATCATATTTCTATAAAATGTGTAAATAAAAAACGGGAAAATAATGCATTTAGCTAAAAACAATGGAGTTAATGAAAGGTGTACATTCTTTTAAAATAAATGGAAAATTTGAGAAAAAATATTTTAAGCTTAATAATTGATACAAATTCTTTATTTGGTGATTTATTTGGTGAAAGTTCTTCACTTACTAATCAAGATCATTTAAATCCCTATTGATTCTACTATAATTCAGGGCACATGTTTGTGTCTATTTAATACCTTGATTTTTTGTTTACCATTGACTTTGACTACAATATATTATTTAAAACATAATGAACATTAATTTTCTATGACCCCAAAGTGCGGTCGTTTGCCTGATGTTAAAAAATGCATATGTACCTGTTTAACGCACTTTGGGGTTAAAATTGGACCCCAAAGTGCGTAACGCACTCTGGGGTCGGACCCTAAAGTACGTAACGCACTTTGGGGTCGGACCCCAAAGTGCGTTTGACCCCAAAGTGCGGTGTTACAATGCCGCGTGCAATAATCCATGCATTTACAGCCATGGCCACATCGATAAGAAATAGTCCCAAATAGCCCTATCGTTTTTATTCAGTTGAAAGAGACATTATTGTTAAAAAAGTTCTACTCGATTTAAATGTTTTCAAACCACAAATATTCCGTTCCCTTCCTCTCTTTACAATGTAAATTGGTGAGCTCTCTGATAAAGCTGAGTTGACTGATATAATTAACTAAATTTGTCAGATATGCAGTTCATCAACAGAAATAAATGCAATTATAAAATAGATAGTGTTTAATAGTGTTCTTAAGTTAACGAAGTTATATCCAGTTCACGAAAACGGTTACCGTGGGTATGAAAACAGGATATAAAAATATTTTTATCAACGAGTGCCACTGTGTTAAAAAGCTTAATCCATCATACTAAAAGATTGCTACAGGTTCTTTATATATATACAAAGGCTCTTTACAAAAGAATAACATTTGACTTTAAAATTGCCGCGTCGAGGCGTAACCCTTTTTACAGCATACAAATCGAAGTGATCCGGAATGTGCACGTTCATTGGACAGGCTAGCTAAGTCAATCAGAGCCTGAAACATTTTCAATTTTGCCGTTTTAGGGGAAATTTAGGGTTTCTGTTTTCTATTCCATGTTTAGTATTGCTACATGACACAAATAAATGTTTCATAATCATTACCGTGAAAGAACAATGATTAAAGAGTAAATCAATTTCTTTACAAATACTGCAGTACAGACAAACAATTTTACTACTTTTAAAATCACTTAAATATCGCAGCGAGGAAAAATTATTTAAATATTCATTTGTGTTTATGTAAATTGTATAGAAAATAAAAAGTTTTTCATGGTTAACACAATTATAGAAAGAGAACGGAAGGCATGTTGCTTTGCATTTGCAACGGATTCTAAAATCGGCTTTAAACTGTAGTCCTTTTTTTCGACTTGGAACTGGTGCCAGATTTGACAATTGAAGAAAAATGTAAGATTTATGTCATTCATTATAAAAAAATGAACATATTTAGGTAGAGTTTTGCCTTCCGTACTCCCGGTTGATGTAAACCTGACTTTTTAATCATGGCGTAGACCAGATATAAACGCCAGAAAACGAAATAGCTTGCAACTGAAGCCCGCTCTAAAACAAGCAACTTCCAAGGTTAGGCAAAGTGTTTGATAAAACGGCTTATAAACTGACGAAGATCCAATATTCTATGGAAAGCTTATATTTTTCCCCGTAGACTGGTGCATATCCCAAAGAAATTGGTACAGAAATAAAATATTTACGGCTATTTTCTTTTCCGAATCGAGCAACATTTGTCTTGGAAATGATGCCAAAAATGACGTCAATGTCACGTGGTATTGCCACACTGTTGTTTATATTACCGATGAAGTTTAAAATTGACCATTTGGGTTTAACTCGAGAAACGAACCCCGAAAGGGCGTTAATATGCTACATATCAAAGCTGTTCTGAAGGTGTCAACTGAGTTGTGCTTAAATATTGAGTACTGACTTATTTCCCGGTCTGCTTTATTGAAACATTTCAGGCGGTGTTCACTACGATGATCGATACTTAATTACATCTCTGCAATCAAATAATCTTACTTGGTGTCATTTTAATTCTAATCTAGCAGTTATTAAAACCAAAAATGTGTTCAACTTGACATTGAAAAAATGAGCTTAATGTCACTTTAATACTTTAAATATAATTATGATGAAATATTCATGTAATGTAGAGTAGGGGATGTCTCTCCGACCCACTGCACTAATTACGGGGAAAATAAATGGGCAACTTCTATTTTATGATTTTCAGTGGATTACTGATTTATCCGTGAAAATTATTGAAAATTATCAAAATATAATTTCACACTTTTCTCTGTCGAAACTACTTTTTTAAGATTTTCCCGACGTGGTACCTCAATCTTATTTTTGCTGACAATTCTGACAATGTCTGGCTGTTTAGAGAAAAGGAAAGCTGAAATTGATAAGTAACTTAAATGTCAAAAGTAATAAAAAGAAGAAAACTTACTTTTATTCATTCAAATTACCAACCACCAAATATCGTCTCTAACTTTTTTGTTTCATTTTTACAGTCTGAAAAATACATTCCTTCCACATGCAAAACTGCTCTTGATGACATTTGGGCATATTTAAGTATCCTACGAGCAATAACTGCTTTATGCTTTATGAAAACTTGAAAAGGAATGACAGCCATCAGCCCGAAGAATAAGTAAACAACCCAACGTTCGTAAGTATTCTAAGTTTTCTAATTTCCTAGCCGCTTTTTGAATGTTAACACATCCGTCAACACTTATTTATTGTCTGTTACAATCCTCAAATAAGTTTTCTTTCTTTTAAAAGGTGTATGACTAACAAATCCAAATGATATCCCTCTCAAGCAAACACAATTATTTTCCTCCAGTGAAATGCAGAACTTGTAAAAATGGCGACCGCTTACATTTCACAAAGCCAGGACTAATATAAATTCGCAGTAAGTAACAGAAATATGGATGGATGGTTGGACTTTTTCTCCTCTAGAACAGTTTGTTTTTATTATTAAAACAAGCGTTCATTCATATTTTTTCTAATAAATATTGTTTGAATAATTTAACGTTGACTGTGGAACTTATTTTTCAGCCCAAGACTTATTGTATTTAATGAGAAATTCGACTAAATTTGGCTCACAATGGGGAAAACAGATTTTTTTTATTTCTCGTGAGAATACTGTTTTTTAAGCCAACTCGTTGAAATAAAATTTCATCTAACACACAAACAAATATCCTCTATATATTGCTGATTTTTTTTTTTTTAAATGTGTTTGTTGTTTATTAAATGTAAGTAATAAAAACTTTATATATCTTATATCTTTTTTAATAAATGACATCTATCGTCTGAGACAAATAATTGGCTATTAACAGATTATTAATTTCATATTTCAACTCTTAGATGCAATATAAATCAAAGTGAAATAAACTATTGTCTGTTATTTTTTTACCGAATAAATACATTTCGCCTACTCAATTTCTTATGTGAAATTATGGCATTATTTATTCGATATTACTCTTAAAAAGATCATTTTTATTGATTTAATTGTATGATCCCACAAGTGAGATTGTTTGTCTGATGTTAAACATATATTAAGCATATATTTTAATTGTTTTCGTTTGAACAAGTAAAATTCAGAAATATGATATTTACGCTAAGAAAATCTAAACTATTGGCAATAATAGTTTTCCTTTATTGCCGACATAATATAGTACATTTTTCAATTAGTAGAGGAAAGTTTAAAATTTAATTGCAAAGTTACTACAGTAACAATTAACAAATATCTTTTTTTTTTGAGATATTAATTGAAAATTCCATTAGAAAATATAGACAGAAAAAAACGTATGTTATTTTAATAATAAACTATCTGAAATTCATCTCGCTGAACAATAACAGAAGTTTAAGTGGAGGTAATAACTAATGTTTTTCAATGATGGAAAACAAAATAGTAATCTGACACTGTTAATGTAAACAAGAAAAATCTCTTAAATTTTATTCGTTTTTGCGTGCTTTCTTAGTCAATTTGCGTCATTTCTCAGAAAATCAGAAAAGGTTGGGTTTTTTGTTATTGATATAGATCCAATATGAAATTTACTTTTGTTTATAATTGTTTTTTAACCATGTACATATAATCTGGGATTGGTTAGTTAAATTTTAGATTAATATGTGAAAACACAGTTGCTTTTTAAAAGCATCAATTATATAATTTATATCATGTAAAGTTAGAAATATTATAGTTAAAACCTATAGTAGAAGCATTCGAGTTTGATTTCCGAACGATGCAGGTCACTTTCGTTGAGGTCGATCATGAAATCCTTTCTAAGGTCATTCAAAGTGTACCTCTGCTCTGGCATGTACAGAAGTTATCAGTTCCTTTGCGAAAGTGAGGGCAGCTTACCCAGGAACGATACGGCTGAACTTGGTAAATTCAATGTGGCTCCCTGTAGACCTATATACTAATATCACCACCACAACAGTAGAAGTAAAATATCGCCAAAAGACCTTGACAACCAGGTCAACATTTTTCTCTTCCATTAAAATGATGGAATCAAATGAAAATTCCATTAAATTTTACATTCATAATATCTGATACAGTTTCAAATATGAATAGAATGTTGTTCAATAATAAGTCAATTGTGAATGTTATATCATTTGAAAGAGCATAAAGATCTAAAACAGTTTAATTTGAACCAAAAGTATTGGAAAAAGGTTGACGTCATGACGTCATAACAAGTGCTTGTTGTTGTTGTTTTGTTGGATTTTTTTTCAAGATGGCACTCTCAAAGCAAAAGGCTGTTTCAAATCAAGCTGTTTCCCTATTCTTCGAGAAACCACAGATTCTTCTCAAAACTTTGATAAACGCCAAACGAAATTCCTTGTTAGTGAAAGCATAGATAAATGGGTTGAGTGTAGAATTAACGTAAGTAGACCAGAAGAAGAACGAATATAGTCCGGCTGGTACCAGGTCAGGCTTCCAGGCGTAAGTGTCGAACGCTATATAGAATGGGAACCAGCATATCAAGTAGCTAAATAGAACGTACGTTAGGGTAATGAATATTCTCTTTTCACGTTGCTGACTGTTGGACACACGGTATGCCCTGTTTACTGAATGGGTTTGGTTGCTAGGGGCATCCGTGTCGTCTGCTTGACTTGGTGACCTTGACGGCGGTGAATTCTGGTTTCCTACGATACTCAAGGAAGTAGTTGGCGTCAGGTAGCGTCCGTTAGATGTTTCATTTGCAGCAAGTTGGTCGTTTAAATGAGTGTTGCCAACGTAAACATTTGAAGTTTTCGAGGTATTGCCAGACATGTTATATGAAATAGCCTGCACATTAACTCTCACCGATGATGCAGCACCTCCCTGTGCAGAGCTAGTCACAAGAGATGATTGTCTCCGCATAACCATAAAAACCTGTGTAACAGAATAAAATACGAAATAAACTGTCTATAGTATATGCGTGTCTTTATAACATTAACTGATATAAATTTTGATTGTTTTGACATTTAAAGACTTATTAACCTTTAAAAAGAAAAAAAATATCATAAATTGACTCGTCAATCTTTAATAAATCTTGACAAAACCTTTTAACTTAGAGGGAACATTTCAAAATATGTACTGACTAAATAGCGAACAGTGCAGTCATGCCGTCTGTTCTAGGTCTGCTTTTCTTGCATGCGGCCGCCAGCAGGCTAAAAGTACACAACATTATTGCAAATTGAATTCTGATCTAATTTCTAACAGGTGAAGTCAAAAAATTGGTTTTATTGTAATAGAAGTGATACAAATTCGATTACCAGCCGCTAAATACACAACAAAGATTATCTCTGTAAAGTATATTTGTGTAACTTTAAGTAGTTAATTTTAGCTGAAAATCATGATGACACATGATATAAAGTTACCTTTATATGACCGAAAACCATGATGGCACATGGTGTATACTTACCTTTACCATGGCGTCATATTATATAAATTTTCATTATATAACAAAACCATGATGGCAAATGGTATATGTATACATGTTTTAGAGTTAATCGTGGCGGCAGATATATATGTAAACCATGATAAATTTACCTTTATATAACAGAAAACAATGATGGCACATGGTATAAAGTTACCTTTATATAGCAAAAAAACTATGATGGCACATGGAATTAACAGGAAACCATGATATCACATGATATATATTTACCTTTATATAGCAGAAAACCATGATGGCACATGGTGTATGTATACATGTACCTTTGAACAAGAGTAAATCGTGGCGGCACATAATATAAATTTTCATTATATAACAGAAAACCATGATAAATTTACCTTTATATAGCAGAAAACCATGATGGCACATGGTATATAATGGCCAATTACTGCTACAAATATAACAAATTCAGTATTATCGTTAGGTTCCCATATACAAGAGTGAGGCTCGCTGTGCTTTAGACGGTCCCCTATAAATGGCGGCGTCCAAATTGCAACAACTAAAAACCTGGAAAAGAAATGAGTTTTATATTGGCTTCTCGTGAATGGCATGATCATTTTAAAAGTTGTGTTCCCGTGGCCATAACATACAATCTGAATTGATTTTTAACGATTGCAAGAGTATACATATTGAATAAGAAACAATTTAACAAAATTATAAAAACGAATAAGAAATAAACCTCATGTTTCCTTTCGGTAGCATGTAATAAAAAGTATATGATGAGATCCAAGTTACAATTACAGAAAACAAATGAATAAATTAGTCTTATTTTTTGGTTTTGGATGAATGGCATGATTATGCTTAAAAATCTGAAAATTCAAATATTATATGACGATTGTAAGAATATACAAGTAACGAAATAACAAAGAAAGAAATGATATATAAATCAGAAAATTGATTTTGGTAGAATGAAATAGCACATATTTGTGGCGGCTTCTATTTTTTCATATTTAATCAATCTGGATAATACAAATCTCTACTTCTTACAGTAAAATGATGTATAAATCATGTGTAAATGGAAAAATCCAATTAGCAATGATACAGAAATGCATTTATCCAGAGTTTTGATAACATGCTTGTACTAAAGGTGCCGTTTATACTGTTGAACTAATTAAATACTAAATATAAATAGTGTGAGTGATATCTATAATACAGTTACATATCTGATAAATTGCGTTGTTCGTGTCGCATTTATCAACATGTCAATGTGACATTTATCAACATATATATGTGACATTTAATAATCATTTCAATTTGACATTAAATAATCATTTCAATGTGACATTTAATAATCATTCCAATGTGACATTTATCAACAAACAAATGTGACATTTATCAACATATATAATTATGTGACATTTAATAATCATTTCAATTTGACATTAAATAATTATTTCAATGTGACATTTAATAATCATTCCAATGTGACATTTATCAACAAACAAATGTGACATTTATCAACATGTCAAAATGACATTTAATCAACATATCAATGTGACATTTAATCAACATTTCAATGTGACATTTATTAACATGTCATTGTCACATTTGTCAACATGTCAACGCCACATTATCAACATATCAATGTGACATTTATCAACATATCACTGTGAAGTTTATCAACATATCAATGTGACATTTATCAACATATCAATGTGAAGTTTATCAACATATCAATGTGACATTTATCAACATGTCAATGTGAAGTTTATCAACTTGCCAATGTGACATTTATCAACATGTCAATGTGACTATTCATCAACATGTTAACATGTATATACAATAAAACTGTAATATTCATGCAGTTGTCTGTTTCAATTGAATGTTACACAATGGCTGAATATATGAATGTTTGTTTATACGGAATTTGCAGATTGCTTTCTACATTTCTACCTTATTCTTGCAGAAAATGTATTTTAGACATAGAATAAGTATGGGCTTTCAAAATGTTACACTCTTTAATAAAGTTATGAAGTATTAGTTTTGTCTGAATTTTATAATTGAGTTTTTGTTCGCACGTCATTAGCTCACAATATAATGTGTTTCTATGTTATAAATCATGAAATGCAAATAATTTCCTTTAAGAGGTATATGGCTTCAAAACATTAGTTCAGCTCTCCGATTTCCCTTTGAAAAGCAATTTGCTGATGTGTTTTAATTCAAAATGTCTTTTTTATGTTTTAAAGCTGCAGACGTTGATGGTAGCTTAAATTTAATAAAATTGCAGGATTGCCGTATTAGATACATTCTATAATATTTTCTCTTTTTTCTCTACATGTTTTATTAGAAGTTAAAGTGATACAAGCAAGCAAGCGGCTTTACAATCTTTATCAACCTTAAAACCTTTATGCCGGCTCGCCACGGCGAGCCGGTATTACGGTAGGATTTTACTGAGAAACAACCTAAAACTCCGAAGCTATCCAAAAATTTAATCGAAGCTTTGCTTCCAGCTTTCTACAAAATTTATCTATCAGGGCTAGGATCCAAAATTATTTAGCCAATCAAATTTAATCTTACATAGCGTCAAAAAACCTTCAATTTTCACGCCATTTTTAAAAATCAGCAAGTATCGTTTTGAGCGCAAAGATATAATGATGATTAAAATGTTTGTCTGTATGAATTCTTTTCAATAAATCATATTTACACTGACTTCTGATTTAGCGATTTCACCTGTTTTCTCTGTAGTAAGTTTTCGTTTGGTTAATTAACATAAGTGTACATCTGGTTCTGTGCATTTTTTATTTTTCCTTTTTTTTCCGGTCATTTTATTTTTTCCGGTATTTAGTGTATGTATTTACTGGCCGGGATCCGGGACGCCCGGGATCCGGGATCGTATAAGATATGGAGGAAAATCCTAATGAACTATATTTGTGTTGATTGTTGTCGTAATGAAAGGCCATTAAACGTTAATTTTTTTTTATTGTATATAATGAACGTTAAATTAATTTAACTTAGAATATAGATATATTTAGAGCTATTTATTAACAAACTTAAAATGCGGAAATCACAATAGGTATAATTATATGCCTAATTAATTGGAAAAATCAAAGACTATTTTCTTGAATTGGTCAAATCCCGGAATCCCTGTATGTTTTAAAACGATCCCAGCTTTTCTGAAAACTATATACTTGAACTGGCCAATCCGTGAGATCTATTTACATTTTAATACGATCCCGGCTTTTCTGAAAACTATATTCTTGAACTGGTCAATTCCCGGGATCCCTATATGTTTTAATAGGATCCCGGCTTATCTTAAAAACATCTTCTTAGACTGGTCAATTTCTGGGATCCCTATATTTTTTAATAGGATCCCGGCTTTTCTGGCTGAATTGATTGACAACTTGTGTTTACTTTAGGACTTGTGCCTCTCATTCCAATACTAAATAACATACATGTATTACAACTTAATTTTGTATAAAGAGACATCTTTATGAAATCTACCTATCTAACATTTTGTGGTCAAGGTCAACAGGCCATATAGTAAATGTGCATAGACATAGGTTCTTCAATCTGTTTACATGCACCTTCATATATACTCATACTCATACTCATCTTGGTTAAACTGAGAGAACTTTATATGTCACTTTCAGTCAATGAGTTTAAGATTTTGAATTTACTGGCCCGAATTCCAGTTTTGAATTTATTCTACTAAATAATTAACAAAATTTTCTTAAATTTACACTGGCCTGAACTTATATACACTGCCCATCGGGCACCGGGCCAGTGTTGACTTCACTTTTATTTTGTTGTTCGCTGAAGTCTCTTCAGCTAACAGAACTGTCATTTTTACATTTAAACACACCCCTTGAAAAAAGTTACGAAGCGAGTCGCTACTAGCTTTTTTAAAAGCTAACCTTGTCATGAAAGATTATTTTAAACAAATATCGTCACACAACATCCGTGTGGGTATTTGTGTTTAAGAACAGAAGATGCATAAATTCTGTCTAAGCAAATCTGTGTTACGTTTTACCGTAAAATTGTGCATTTAAATTTGTATGTTTGTATAAACGATTTCATGAACATACATGTAAATGATTTTTCATTTATATTCAAAAGTTATCATCGTAGAAATATTTTCATTGATATCATTTACAAGGTTGATATTGTACATGAAAATCAATCAGAAGCCCATAACAGCTTGTTAGTATTCATATACTCAAAATATAGCATCGTCTACAGAAAGGAAAAATGATAATTAAAGATTGTTAGAAGAACGTTTCTTTTCATAACAAAAGGAATCCAATTATCGTTATAATATCCCGATGACAATACATAACGAACGTACCGAGTAGAATATAATGGAAAGTCGCATTTCATAATAGACTAACATTCGCTTAAAGGCCAAATAAGGTTAAAAAGGCTGTCGTTTTTATTTTTTCTTAAAGCTTTTTATTTCTTTATGTGTCCTGTTACAGTTTCCATAAAAGTTAATAATTGACCATATAACTAAGCCATCTTTTGCTTCTTCTACAGTTTGGCAATTGTTGCCATTACAATGCTTTAGTATTTTTGTATGGAAGTTAAATCACAATCAACGCTACTTTTGAGTTGATTGTTATTGCTACAAATTTTGTAAGCTGAAAAAAGTGTATTGTATTGTATCGTCCTGTACTGTATTGTACTGTATTGTATTGTACTGTATTGTGTTGTATTGTATTGTATTGTATTGTACTTTCGTCAGGTGTTAAGTAATTCAAATGCTATATACGTCCATTATTTCAACATTATAAAACACATTTTTGCCCTTTTCTACAGACAAAAAATGTATTAATTTCTGAGGCTTAATGTGCCTTTAACGTGTAAGCAACAGCAACAGACTTGCAAAACTAAAAAAAAAAAAGGAAAGAAAAAAATAGTCAAGTATCACATTTTTGGTCGCAGACGTTATTTACTAGCATTTAGTTGTTGTTTTTGTATTCAATGTATCTTAATATAGAATACTGGCAGCATTTGCTTATTTCCCTTGTAGAATAGACACTCAACAAGGAAAGTGTTGTTGTTACATCAAGAGAGATCGTCACTTAAAGGTTGTCATGAAGCCAATGTTTTGCAAAGAGAATGTACTGTATAATAAAACAGCTAAAGCAAAAAACTTGCATGTTAATTAAATCAAACATGGTAAAGTACTTTATTGGCTTAACAATTCAAGGTCTGTTAGCTTTTATTAATTTTAGGAAGATCATAAAAATTATATTATTGGGTTTTTTTTATTTTGTTGTTTGTTTTTCTTCTTTTTCTTCTTTTCTATCATTGTTGTTGTTTTTCTGATATGCCAGATATTAAAATAAATCATAATCATCCTCGACTTACTAATCTTTTTAAACTTTCTTGTTTAGAATTATGTTTCAAATTAAATTAAAGAGTCGGCGAGCCCTTATTTTGTTTATTTATTTATTTATTTATTTATATAGAAATCAAAATACTACTTTGTTTAAATTTTGCTGCCTTTACGACACATTACTGCACGTTCAGCAATTGTTAAACATCTTAAATTCTCCATTATTAAAGCATTATTGAACAAATGCCTTTCATTTCTAAAGAATTAAAAAAAAACCTATGAATTTCTGAGGCATAATGTGCCTTTAAACTTGCGAAAACTGTGTCTTCCTTATTACAAGCACAAGTTGACAGCACATGTCGAAAATGACATTTTAGCAATTAAATGCATGTTTTATTTCAAGACTAATCCCAATTAGTTCTCCTAATATGTCTGCAATAGTTTTATTAGTTTATTCCGTATTATAACAACAGTAATAGTTTTAGTCTGAAGGCGAAATGGGGAAATTTCGGACAGGTTAATGCACGGACTATTCACTTTCCCTTTTCCGCTTTCGCAGGTAGTGTATTATATTGTGAGTTCACAGCTGTCAAACCTTTATTGGACGAGGCTAATTCCGAGTCTGAATAGGTTTGGAGCTGTGTACGAGTCCAGTAGAATCAGTATTGTTCTCAACGATGTTAAATGGCCTCTTTATTTTACATTTTTGACACTGGAACAGCATTTTGTTACTTTAAATACAATAAGGAATTGATATAATTATTTTACCTTGTAAATTGACATGAGGCTAGATGGAGTACAATAATTATGCTTTGACATAGATATTTTGGAATCTAAAACTGAAAACGAGGCTATATAGGGTGTGATATGCATTTGATATGGATGTTTTGTGCTCTAGAAACAAAAACAAAACTAAATTGACAAGATTGGGTCCGATAATGACTTCTCTTTGAACATCAGGTGGTTCAAACGCTGGTCATTATATATTTTATAAGGTGTGAAATAAATGTAATTATTGAAAATAAGAAAATGATATGATGAATATTGAAAATATTGAAAATAGGTAAGTGTTTTGGGTTTGTTTCTTTTTAATTTGAGTGTAGACAAACGAAGAAATAGAGTGGTACTGCTTTTTTTATTTCATCATGTAAAATAGAGACGAACGGATTCCCTAAAGAACGATTGTAAATGGAGTGACTGAAACTGTTCATGGATGGTGTCCACGCCCAATAGCACCGGCTAAAGGAGAATTCAACATTTAAACATAACAAAGATGAACTTTTGAATTTAGAAACATCCACATTTGTTTATACGGCCTAAAAAAGAACACAGTGGGCGGAACTAAACATTCAAATAGAATTTGGAAAATGGAAGCCTGCATATCACAGACAAGACGTCAAAAGACAAATTTAAAAGGCAATCCACATATCTTAAAGATGATTATACAATATTCGATATTAAGATTATTAATATAACTTCAGTGCATAAGTTAGAATATTACAATCTATACGTGGTGAAATGAACCGCCTCATAAGAAGTTTTGGTGCAGTGCCACAAACCATCGCCAACGAATATACAAAAATTGTCCAGTAGTAGATAAATCTACCAAAATATTATAAAAAAGATTGGGTCACATCCATGCGACAACGTTCCCAAACACGGTAGGCATACAATATTAGAATAATTTTCAATGACATATTTATTTTGCGACATTGGCTAAAATACCGCGCTATCTCATTTATATGGCATTTTTATTAAATTTGTGTTTCTTAAGAAATTTAATAAATGAAATATCACATTATGTAACTGTCTCCTAACTGTATTTATTGAAATTTTTAGCATGGTCGTACCAAAATTGACGCATATATGAGACCATTTATACATGCACACTAATAAGATTTGTTAAGTGTATTTCTGGAGTATTACAACACGAAAAAAGATCTACAAGTTTACCTCGACCGAGTATCTTTTTTACGATTATTTACCTTTTCTTTTCTTGTTTACACCTGATTAAATAAAGCTATTGCCAATAAATCTGAACCAAAATAGATTAATAACGGCTCTTTGTCTCATTTCCACAACATCAATTAACTAATGGCAATGAATTAACAAAATGGTTTCTTAATTCATAAGGCTTGGTTAACGAGAATATTCTATAAACTTGGAATGATGTTTGATACTTACCATATTATACCAATAACGAACGCTGTTTTATTTTTATTATTGTGCATTCTGTAATGAATGGCCCATGTGACGCACCAAAACCTGTCAACTGATATTGCAACAAGTGTAAATACTGAAGCAAACGTCATTGCAAAGTCAAAATAAATCCAGACGCCGCACATGATTGTCCCGAATGGCCAGTATCCCAACAGAGTATCTAACGTGTAAAACGTCATCGCCGTAATAGCAACGCTAAAATCCGTCACAGCTAAATTCAAAATAAACATATTAAACGGCTGCAGCAGACGTTTCTCCATTACAAACGCCAAAAGTACCAAAAGGTTTCCGAAAATTGTAAGAATGTCAAGAATCGCCAGAGTTATTGCCAATAAAATATTTGAGACGCTTACGTCAAATGGCGGAGGTAGCCACTCGGATACTTCGGTGTTATTTTCAAGTTCCATCTTTTCAGTCGTCGCTGTATAAAACGCCTCGAAAGAAGTCGAATTATTAAAATTCATCTTGACTAAGTACAAAGTCCTAACTGTTTCCTTCTGTGCAAATTTTATCTATATTCTCTTAACAAATCAACAAAGTTTTAATATCAAATACCTAATAACTGATTTTTGTTGATGTTTTTTCCACAACGTTACGCATGAAATAAATTACTTTGAAAGACGTTTTTAATATTGTCTTAGATACTAAAAACTCAAATTAACATAAAATTATTGTTCCGTTATCTTTCAAAAAATATTAAAGATTTATCATGCCAGCTCTTTAATAGATAATTATACCGATGTCACTTCAGGCAAGGTATTTGTGGAATGACAAAGATCTGTAAGCTTTGTTCGTCATCCTTATCGGAGATACCGTAACGCCTCCTACAGAAACTCTAGTGAAAAATATCGATTATAGAAATGTAGCAATAAACTATGAGAGAAAATATCAACATACTGATCACAGTATGTTTACAGAAGGCCCCCGCCTCGAACACGCGCACACACGCACGCGCGCACACACACACACTGACACACACACACACACAATATAGTGCCACAAAGGCCAAATCGTAGGGCGCAAAAACAGGAATGGGGCAACAGTGGGAGAAGAGAGGGCATTAAAACTAAATTTCGCTTTCCGTGAATAAGCAAAACCTTTATAATTGTCCGATATTGCTATGATACGTCAACTAGATAATCTTGGAGAATAAAAATCGTTAACTCTTAACCTGTTGGTCCGCTACTGGTTCTTCTAATGCGACCATTGCAGTCCAAGACCACGATCAGTCTACACTCATTGATCTTCAGTCTCTTCATATTTTGAAACTTCACCTGAAATTATGAATGACTTTGTCCATACGGAAAGATGCACCACTCGTGAAAAATATTGCACCTGGTGTTCACTCAGTGAAATATATTTCAACCTTACATGCAAGACAAACAAATATCCTCTATATAATGCCAATTTTCATGGTGTTAAGATAAAGTTGCTCTCATTTATGTATCGAATAGAATATACTTTTTTAAATGGATATTGTTATGAAAAAATGAGCACTTACATTTACAATTTCCTTCAAACAGACCATATGCTTAGTACAATAAATAGATGTATAATACACGTGTAAGTTTAAAAATAATACTTGAGGCGTGTCTCGTGTACTCACGTGCACAAAACTATTTAATATACACTACACTACACTACATCATGAAGTTGGGAGTCTTATATAAAAATACAATATATTTGAACATTGATTACAATAATTGGACTAATTATAGCATATATAACAAAATGCATGTTGGCGGTAATAACATTCACCTTTAAATGTCAGATGACGTGTTTAAGATAAAATTGGACATATTATTTAAATCTCATTGGTGAGTTTAACTTAAACTGATTAACCTATATTTATTGAAAAGATTAGGTTTTGGTGCGCGTTGTGGCGCCGTTAAATGTCGCAACGCCGCTACATGTCGCACTTGCCGCTAAATGTCGCACCATTGCCGCTAAATGTCGCAACCGCCGATAAATGTCGCAAAATCATTTGCCGTTAAATGTCGCAATGTTAACGCTAAATGTCGCACGAATTTCCCTTACCGTTAAATGTCGCAACACTACCGTTAAATGTCGCAAGATTGGACTCAAGTTTTATTGTTGTATCAAATTAATTAAATCTGCCTACTCAAGTTTGAAAGCGAGTGAATTTTTTATGTTATATGGAACTGCGTTTCAATTTTGGCGACATAATAATCATCTTGTTAATAATGTATATTGTTTTGCGTTGGATTTTAGCTGAACTTATGCAAGTAAATATTGATAATTATACGATTGTATACTTTTTGTATGAAACTGCAAAATTGGCATTTTGTTCTGTAAATAGTTTTGTATAATCATGTCTGTAAAATTGGCAGAAGAGACAGCCTAACGGTCTGGCTAACTGAGGTGGCAGTTTGATGGCCTTGTTGACTGAGGAGGCAAATTGTCTCGCAGTCGGAAGAGGAAGCCTAAATAGCTGACGACCTGGGCCTTAGAAGTTTGCCTAATGCCCTGGAAGCCTAACGTTGGCAGCCTAGTATCATGAGGAGGCCGCCTAACATATTAACATCCTATTGATGTCAGCTTTGCAACCTGAAGTTGGCAATCTAACAGCCTAAAGTCGGCAGCCTAGTAGCTTAAAGTTAGTGACTTATATTATAAATATGGAAACAATTTAAAATACAGTAAAATCACTATGAAAGGTCTTGCAAAAGCATATATAAATGCATGATTATGGAAAAAACGCCTTTACCTTAAAGGTGCGACATTTAGCGGCAAGTGCGACATTTAGCGGCGTTGCGACATTTAACGGCGCCACATTGACTGCATCAGTTCTTTGAATTTTAGTGTGTTCGGTCGATTGAAATATTAATTTGGAATTAGGCTTCTCCTACTAAAACAGAAGAAAAGGCATTTTAACATCGGCAATATCATTTTGATTACATAAAATGCATTTCCTTTGACCATGTTCTACAAAAGACTTGCGCCATCTGCCAGTTTGAAAAAGTGTCACAGTTAAATCGTATACATATACATGCACAGTAAGTTAACTGGAGTGCAGGCATCAGTTACCCGCACTCCAAATCATTCCGTTGAGAAATAAAGTTGATTTCTATGGTGGCTGATTTGGAACGTTTTTGTGCGCCGTCTTGTAGCTAGCGAAGCACGCCAAACGTCGCGTTGTCGTGTGGCGTGTTGTCGCGATGTCGCTCAAATCAAAGGATTGGCTTATAAGCCAAGCGACAAGACGTCAGTGCGACGAAAAGGCGATAACGATATAGGTTGTGTTGTCGCTATCGACAACGCAACGCGCAAAGTGTTCCAAATCAGCCACCATACATTATAAGCTATATCATTCTCGTAAATGAAATACATGGAAAAATATATAAAATAATGATTATTAATAAATTAAAAA